CTTTGGTTTTGTTGAGAACGTGTTCTTGCCAGCGTTCTCTGTTCCATCGTGTTGACTCATAAAACATGACCCAATCTACTCACGGATACTCTGAGTCGTGGGAGGAACTGTAACGCTTTCATGTCTGGATGGCGTTTCATGATGGATATCAGCTGCACCGCGTGATTAACCATTGCGTCTTCGTTGGTAGATACATTTGGAGGTCCATTCTTCTGGGCATAGGAACGCATGAGCCGCCCAAGACTATCCAAGGAAACTGTTGACGTCGCCTCTTCGACCCGCATTCCAACTGAAAACAAGGCCTTTGCTCTGTCAAAGTTGGGAAGCAGCAATCTAACTTTGAGGGCCTCCATGAGGAGCCGATGCTGTTGGTTTGTCATATCCGAGCAGCTAGGATAACAAACAATCTTGACCGAGAAGCCATGTCCACGGAAAGAGTGTCCATGGAGAGTGACAATTCCGGGCAATGGTAGCTTGTTGATTGTCGTGTTGGCCGAGCAGCAAGAAGCAAGCCTGGATTGCCCAAACAACATACATCCCCGCAGCATCTAGAGGCACCAGTCGAGCCCACCATGGTCTTGTTCACCCAAAAGCCGCGGCAAATCTCATCTTTGAAGCTATCGGATCGATTGTGAAGAAAGCAGAAAGCAATTCGAAAGAGGGCTTGTTGGAACGAAAACTGATGCTGACTGATGGGTCAATCGTGTGTGCAATAAATCTCGCATCACTACTTTAACTCTTTCTATGTCCTGTCAAATAGGTTCCCAAGATTGGTACATAAAAACCTGAGTGCCGGTGTGAGCTAAAGACTACCGTCTACGAAGAACGCGTATACCGTATTTCGTATATAGTCGTTATACGTGTACCCTCTACTAGGATAACTACCGGTACCGGAAGGGGTTGCGGGTTGCATCACTAATCCCTATGTCAAGGTTGTGTTCAACGAATGGGAACTCCTTCCCTTCTGAATTCGTATTAGGGTCATTACGAGTCATCCGCGATTTCACATTTAAAGTCAAGAATTCCTTACTCCAAGTATGGGATTCCTGTAACTGCCTCCAGTGTTCTTTGCTTCAACAGGCACGAAGCAGAATGCGAATCTTTCTTCGTTGATTTGTTGAAAATGAAAGCGACGAGGATTGGTATCTTCATCCAAGATCTCCAGCGAGCTTTCCTACCGACCTGCTACCTGGAAGCATGGCATCAATCGCTCCCCAGATTCCAGAATCGTTCATAGAAGTACGGTAGGCACAAGGATACCGTACGGTATGGAGGTGCGAGAATCCAGGAGGAAGTGTCAGGTCGCTGGTCATTCTTTGCTGAATGCATCAAAAAGTTTTGATTGATTGCTCACAATCTGAACCTCTGCGAATAAAAACACAAGCAAAACAATTCATTTTCTTTTCGTTCAGTTCCAAATATACAAACACTGACCATGAGCTCTCTCGAAATGGACTACGATACAATTTTCCAGGTGATGGACTCCTGGGAACTTTTGCGCCGTCTTCCTGACTATGAAGCTACTGCTGGATCCATCCTCTTTACACAGTGAGTCAAATCCATGCTCCGCGGATGACCCATCGTTGAAACTGGACCAAATGACTCACCACAATGTGCTCTCTTGTTGCTTTTCTTTCCTTCTAGTCTCTTCGAGAAGTGTCCTTCGACGAAAGCATTGTTTGGTTTCTTCCCGTTGGATAAGACTGAGAATACCGAGCTTGTGACGAGTACCCGCTTCGTGAAGCATGCCCGGTACATGATTCAGGTGAGACCACGTCGCGGTTTTAGTCTTCCTATTTTCTTTTCACAATGGTCTCTCAAAAAGTCCGCTTCTTGATCCTTCCCTGATAATACGGTACCAACAAAGATGTTGGACAAGGTAAGACACCATGGTGTACCGGTACGAGGGGAAGGTCACTCAGAGAAACAAATCAAGACACTCACCACAACGCTACCATCTCCTCCTCTCTCCCTATCTAGGCACTGAACATGCTTGGACCGGATGCCGAAATTCTTCAAGAGATCTTGACCGATTGTAAGTGGCTGGCGGCCCCTAACTTTTCCACCTCATCCCGGACTGCTCTGGTGACTAATCTAATCGTTGATGGTTGTCTTTTTGCAATGACGCAGTGGGCAAGAAACACTCCAGGATGGGTGTCAAGGCTGAGTTTTTCCCTTTGATGGGCGAAGCGCTGATCCAAATGATGAAGGACTGCTTGAGGGAAAAGTTTACTCCCGATATTGAGAAAGCGTGGGGAATAGTCTATGCTGCTCTCTCGGGAGAAATGGTCAAGGCCATGAACGATGACATCACCGTCATCAACAGCTGGAATCAGCTCAAGAAGCTTGAGAACTATGAGGAGGTTGCCGGCACAATCCTGTTCCGCAGGTGAGTATTTCACTCTGACACAACTACTGTTTACTGGCAGAGCCAAATTTTTGACCGCCTGCAAGACGCAAAAGCAACCTCTCAACTTCTCTTTTGTACCTCTCCAACATAGACTTTTTCAAAAGTGCCCCGAGACAAAGACTCTCTTCGGCTTTCCTGTTGATATGGACACGGAATGTTCAAAGTTGATGGAGAGTAGGCGCTTCAAGATTCACTCAAAACACTTCGTGGAGATGCTTGATAAGGCTCTCTTCATGTTGGAAGTCAAGAGGCTCGAGGACAACATGAAACAGTTGGGCGAACTTCACGTCACCTACGGAGTCAAAGAGGAGTACTTCCCAATCATGGGGGAAGCCTTGATCTATACACTCAAAAAATGCCTCCCCGACGAGTTTAACCCGGCCATCAAGAGTGCTTGGAATCACGTGTACTTGAAAATGTCGACTCAAATGATCACGTCCATGAAAGCTGCTGCCAAGAAATAGATTTCTTTTTGCCGCGAGAAAATAGGAAGAGAAGGAGCCATCGCTCAAACAACCAACCTACTCACCAACTTGGCAGCCTGGTCAAGCCCACGACGGAACGCACTCAATACACGTTACCAACCCATTTCCTAATGCATACAACTTCTAGAGTTACCTCTGCCCCGCCTTGTACGTTGCGTGGCTAGCAAGCATTTGTTCTTCGCACATCCCGGGTGGACGCTATCTTGCTAGGCAGCTCTAAACCCTTTACCGCTTGCGTCGTTTTAGATCATTGACTTCGATTCGAACGTTAGGGATTATTATTGTGAAGGAGCTCATGGGAGTTCAGCACTAGCAGCGTGGAGCAGTCAAACCACGCACCGACTGGAGAAGCACCAAAGCCCGCAAATATCACATTCGTTACTCCTTGCCCAGATCCAGGACTTTCATCTTGACCTAATTTGGCCAAAGTTCTAGTTCTGCACCTGGGCCCACCCCGACCAACTCCTGAACCTGATCCCGTCCTACAACAGGCCCATCTCCTGAACTTACACTCCAACCTTCTCCTGGCCCAACTCCAGGGGATCCTTGGCATGCTGTCTGTTGATTTGCTCATCTTCCGTCCATCGGCCTAACCTAGCCCATGTCGTCGACTACAGTATGGCATACCAGTACCTGGTTCCGCTCAACTTTTCATCAAAGTGAATTCAGTCACAGATGGCACGCAGTCTTGACTCGACTCGTCATTCCTGCGCACCAGGAGAGTGATATATTATTATTGTGGTTTCTTTTTACCACGAAGGTGCGCAAAGGAACGAGCGCCCAAACATCTTTTGGGCGAATTTGTTCGAGTGTGCTATCCCACAAACAGAACCTTGCGTGACGTATCGTTCACACGTCAAGCTGCGCCATAGAGTTTGGGTGCTCGTACCGTGACACCCATGACCATACTGCATGCAATATGTTGACCGGCAGGAAGCGACGGCTTATCTTCTGCGTGAGGAGACATAGTCGACGAATTATCGTCCAACGGTCAATCGTGGTACTGGGTTCCATCCCTTCCATGGAAGGGAAGCACTCAGCAGGCCAAGAATCCATGCAGAGAGATATTGGGAAACCCCCAAGGCCCACAATTTTGAGAGTTCTTAGCGGATACACACGACCAAACCCAGTTGGAAGCAATGCAGCTGCTGTTGTTGCATTCGCTTCGGTACGATTGTCGGCTTGCAATCATATTTCGCCCCACAACCATTCCACTGGCTAGATAGTTGTCCACAATAGAGACAAAGCACTTCGGACTAGGCAAAACAGAACAATGAGCGCATTTGCGAAACCAATAGCTGGAAACGCGATGCCAACCATCGAGAAACCCCGAATCACTTACTCGTCTGTGATCCACTCTCTTGTGGGACAGATCACTCTGCGATCACCGTTTCTTCGGGATACTGGGGATGAGGGAGATGAGGAGGCGGATATTGCGCTGTTGTACCGCAACGAGATACTGACAGGGAGTATACTTGGTCAAGGCAATTTCTCGAATGTCTTCGAGGTGGCTGATCTGGACCTGAGAGGGGACGAAGACGAATCAAGTGACGTATCATACCCAAGAAATATGATGCAAAGTTTGCAAGGCAATGGGAAAGCGGAGGCAAAGAGCCATCGCGGACCATATTGTGACGAAACCAAACGCAATCTACAAACTGCCAATTATCGAAGAACACGGGCAAGATTACGGCTTCGAGACGAGTACAAACACGAACAGCTTTGTGTGAAATCCCTCAAACCAGAGTTGTTAGAAAACAAAAGCCCCAAAGTGTTCTTAGAAGCTGCAGCTGATCTTGTCATTGAAGCCAAGTATCTATCGAAGCTCAACCATGAAAACATTCTCAAGGTTCGTGGTTTGGCCAAAGGTTGGCAGTCAGCTTTTGCAAATGGCGAATACGACAGCTTCTTTTTGCTTGTGGATCGGTTGGAAGAAACGTTGAACCAAAGAATCAAGAGATGGAGGAATCGTGAATACCCGGAAGAAAACACAATAGAGGGGAAGTTACCATTGCTTCAACAGCTGGCAAGCGCTTTGAGTTACTTAGCAGATCGCAACCTGGTCTTTCGGGGTAAGTCCTGGAAATTATTGGGTGCCACAGCCACATTGAGACACCATGCCGCTTATATATTGTTTTTGGCTCAGATTGCAAACCCCAGAATATCGGACTGGGAAGGCTGCCCGATGGTTCTCTGTCCGTGAAATTGTTTGATTTTGGATTCTGTCGACAACTACCAGCCCTCGACCAAGCGAGGGACGACGTCGAAGAGACGGCATCTTCGAACGCAGCAACGACGTTGAAATCAGGGGAGCAGATGTTTCTCATGTCTGGCAAAGGAACAAGGTAAGGACGATTACATGGACTTGACGCGCTACGTTGCGTTCCAAGCTAAGCGTTGCATCTTTTTCCCTTTTCCGTTTCGCCGGTTTCTGTCTTCGCAGGAGATACATGGCACCAGAGGTACTGATCCACAACAGATACAATCTTAAAGCAGATGTGAGTGACGAGTCATATTCAGTCTTTTCGGGCTGTGCTTGTGGCTGTTCTGTTCAAGAATCTCTAATCCTTCATATTATTGTTTCAGGTTTATAGTTGGGCTATGGTGGCCTGGGAAACCCTTACGCTTCGGAAGCCATACTACAAATACACCAAAGATCAGCATATGCATCATGTTTGCGAAAATGGTGATCGCCCTCCGTTGGAACATGTGACTGGCACTCAGTCGTTTTGGCCGCCGCCAACCGTTCGTTCTCCATCCATGTCTTTGTCTTCCATGCAAAGCCACAGCAATTTTGGAAGTGAAGCCAGCATCAATTTCCAACAATCCATGACAGACCCCATTCGACAACTGCTTCAATGTGCTTGGAATCAAGATGTATCAGAGCGATACAGTATGAAAGAAGTCCTAAATGCTTTCGACGATATGGACCATGCAGGAAATGCCGTTGTGGGTTCTTCTACGCAAACAACTTCCAGTGATGTATCTACTTCGACACGGTCGGGGCTTGGATACACCTGCCTGTCGACATCCATCGCCAACTATCACGACGTGAGGGATTTGGTAGCGGAGTTTGCCAACGATCTACCTGAGCTACCTTTCCTAGCTTGCTTTGGACACGACGACAATGCGCAACAAGAAAACATAGAACCTGCACCCAAAGCTCGAGGAGCCGAGGTTGAGCCGTCGGAGAATCTGAAAGCGATCGGTACAAAACGAGAAGATTACAGCAATGTGCTGCAATATTCTGTATCTCGAATACAAACACTGATAGTTCAATAGACCTGTACAGAATCGCCACCAAAAGAAAAGTGCGGCGTGTAACACTTAGCTAACAATAGTTTTGTCTACCGTGTTGCCCTGTATTGCTCAAACCAGTGTCGTCATAGCAAAGGTGCACCCCAGCTTGTTTGCAAGTTTCTACCAGTACCCGTACCTGAAACAGCCTAAGAATGGCTGATTGAATCCTTTCCTTGCCGGTGGATACCGATTTGCAATGGCAAGGTTAGAAAGGATCTCTGACGCGATCGGTGAACCGTTGGCCCGCATCAATACCGCTGCACAAACGTCTACCATCAGATAGACGGATCCAAAACGACCGCAGGATTCTCTCGGCTTTGGTCTTTTCTTCTCTACGCCCAAAGGACGCTTCAATGGCATCAATATTGGTTTGCACAAGTTGCTCTGGAGTGAGCCTCATTTTGACAAGAGCAATGCGATACTGCCAGGTGAGGGAAGTGTGGAAAACGGCTGGATCGTCTGAGTTCAAGGATACGGGAATGCCATGCTGTATCATCTCCAATCCAGGATGATGGTTCCAAGGCTTTTTCTTCCTGACATTCGTTTGCCCCTCAGTCCCCCCATCGGGCACATCAAAGATCCATCCTCCCGTCTCGACGGACGACGTTGGACATATCTCGACATGTATCCTTTTCATTGCCAATTGGTTCATCAGTTCCAAGGATTCTGTCATTCGATAGCCATGGCCAATCCTCTTGGCGCCATATCCTTTCTGCACGGGGTCATGGTGTGTTGCTATTGCCTGTCGCACATGCTCAATTCCATTGGGTGTTTCTCCCGCGTGTATTGCCACTGGTATGCCCAGCACTTGTGCTTTTTGCATCATGTCAAAGTGTGGTTGGTACAACTGCGGAAATTTTGTTTTGTCAAAGTGTTCCTCACCAGCAGCAATGTCAATACCCACAACAGCACAAGGATGTTCATGTCGAAACTCCTTTGTCAGCTCCAGTACATCCCATGCCCAATCAGGTCTCCAATTGATGGCACAAAGTATTTGGTTGACTACAATGTCAAAGTCAGCAGACCCCCGACGCAGTCCTCGAGTAATGGCTTGTACAACCTCTCGAGCAGATTGTTTTCGTTGTTCCTCCGCACTCATGGCTGAATCCCCTTCTTGTGGTGACAACTTCTTGTCATTCATGTCATACGATCCGGAAGTACCCTTGTCTTCATGCATGAGCAAGTGAGGGTTGTACCTCACTTCTGTGTACACCACGTTTTGCTCCCATTGACGCCTACAAAAGTCATAGGCTAGCTCTTCCAACAGTAGCCACGCTGGTTGTGGTGCTCCCCTGACCAAAGGCAAGAAAATCTCGAAACAAGTCAGCATATGCTGCAAGGATCGTTCTCCTCGGCGACAGGTGCAGAGATTATGAAAATCGTCAACCGTCTTGCAGTTCTGGACCAAATGCCGGACGGGAAGTGGATGCTGAGGATCCCAAGGCAGCGTAGTACTGACTGGAAGACATCCAATCCAACCTTGGCCCTGGTCCTCGTATTGCTGTAGACAATGCCAAAGAAAATCGGGGTCCAGCGACCCGTCCAAATGAACATGGAGCTCTACTTTGGGACATTCGCGTACAAATTCCTCCAGTTCCTCGGAGTACTCTTCCCATTTTTTACCACCGTGCTCTTTGAGATAGCGCACTTGTCGCGATGGAGGGTGATATGGATGAGAAGCAATATTGGGCTTGACAAGTAGTAGTTGACTGCTTTGACCCGACCCCGAGGTTGCTTGCTGGCGTTGCTTTCGTTTCATGGCTCTTGTTACCAGGGCTGTCACGACACCAAACGTGGCCAAGCTAATGGCTATCTCGCTGGAGATAAAGGAGCTTGGAGCTCTACTTGTTTGACCACATGATGTCGCCATCTTGCTTCGCCTAGCTAGTAGAGTGGTCTTTTGCCTCTGCCTCGATTGCGTCCTTTTGTCCTTGATGTTTTGTTGCCCTGCTGTCATTCGCTGTGCTTGTTCTGGTCACGCTTTTCCAGCAAAATCTTCAGTAGAGCTCAGGTTAACCAGAAACCCAAACAACAAGATCTACAGTACAAGAATGTTCGAGTGGAATAATGGAGGGAGACAATGCGTGCTCTTCGTCCTCTGTTGCTTTTCAATACAAAAGCAACTGAACGCTCGTTGCCAAACCATGGTTTGCTGAGCTGTTTGCTGCTACCTGGTACGGTACTAGCTAGCTAGCGACTGAATGTATGTAAATGTAGTTGTCTACAACCTCAGGATGCAGCTACGAATCGAGCTTCTCACCCCTGGAGCAGTATTCAATTGTCGAAAGCAAGTATTGACGCATCGGCACTTCACACATTATGAATATGTTTTATAGATGATTAAAATCCAGGAACTACACTACATAATACCAACAAGTTGTACATATATAAAGTTTGATCAGGTTGTGTGTGGAGGGAAGCCATGTACTTGCCTGCACTGTTTGTTTGTGTTCCCATCCTACGGTAGTTGAACGTCAAAATGAAGTAGGAAGAGGGGGTGTCTCCTTTACAAAGTAAACCATTGGTGAATGTCAAGGGCGTGTGCGAAGAGGAAACTGTACGTGTCAAAAATCACATTGCGATGAATGTCATGGTAGTCAAAGCAAATCTCTTCTCCCGCCGGGATGTCCCGCGTTGCATAAAGGCCATGTGAGCCAATAGTGTTTCGTCTTTGCAGGGTAGCCTGGTCCGTGGAATGGAGCAAGGAGAAGGAAAAGAAATGCGGCAAACCATAGTCACGACGTTCCAGCTCGTCTTCGTAGTGGTGCTCCGAATTCCGACTCTTTTCGTTATAGGAACAGTGGTTGAAGTAGGCATGACCATCCAGGTCCATCATGTACTTGAATCCCTTTCCTTGGAAGTTATTCGAGTATCCCCAAAAGATAGCATTGCACCGTTCTTCCTCGGTGAGTTTGTTCAAGAAGACCTTGGCAGAACAATCCGAGTCAAAGACACCACGATATCGGTTGTCCCAGATCTTTTGCCCCTTTTTAATGACAGCATTGGCATACACGCCTCGACCTCTTCCGGGAGAGTACTTGAAATCCACAGGTGCCACGAAGCCGTTGTTGTGTTCCGTGACCACAATTCCATCTCTTTCGGGAGACATTTTGTATAGGTTTTGCCATTCTTTTCCGAGACTGGAACGGCTGGCAGGGACAGATTCGTGATACTTTCGGCGGACTTCATTCCAGTGTTCTGGTGTGTACATGGGTGGAATCTCGTTGCCCTGTTTATGAGTCAACTGGCGGCTGCAGTCGGGATAAGGCCACTCTTGAACAGGACAGGTTTCATCCTTGACGCTCGCTTTGACCCAGTACGTAAGAAACCAAACGCACACGATTGTGCTTCCCGCAAGAAACATGGTCGAGAAAAACAAGTATAGAACTCGAAGACATCTCGACAAGATCTCGTTGCTACCGGAACGTTCTTGCAAAAACCCGGATTCCTCTCGTTTGTCCAAGATTGAGCACACCGAGTCCAAGTCATCATCATAGATGTTGATTCCTGTCTCCATAATATCTCTCACGGAGCGTCGAAGTTTCGGGCGGCTAGGAGAAGATAACATGGCGACGGTACCGGTACGGTGGCAAGATAGGAAACTTGGACGTTTTTGTGTAACGAGCTTATGACGATTCGCATGATTCGAGGGGTTGTGTGGCCTTTTTTTGGAGGGGTGTCGCAAGAGTGGGGGTCGTGGGTCGTGGGCAGGGGTGGGTGCCAAATTTGAAATTCAAATGTGACCAACGGTCGTATTGCCGTAAATGGCTCATTCGATTGATCTATTCGATTGATTGAATCAATCGAATAGATCTTTCAGAGATCTTCGTCCAATTCCGAACCAAGACCGATGGCTCGAAGAAGTTAGAAGAATGAGAGCCGAGTCACAGTCAAATCGAGTCCAAAGCTGCCGCCGCATGGCTAATAGAGATGGCATTATATCTCGTGTGGTTTCCTAATAAGAAGCCTTTGCAAAGGCCTACATGTTGGTAGCAGCAAGATAGGCACCGCTGTGGTTGTTAAGTCGAAAAGCCAAACATCAATCGATCAATCTCTCCCATCTCCCATCAATCAATCATCATGAGCACTGCTACTGCTTCCAAATTGAGCCCTCCTGTGGCTCGCCGTGAAGAAGACCGTGTTGTCTATGCTGGTGCAGCTCCTCCTGGTTGGGACCCAAAGATTGTCCGTCAGGCAGAGTCATCCAAGGAGAAGCTGTTGGATCCTCCTGTTCCGGTCCCTGATCCCTATGGATGGATGCGTGACGATGATCGCAAGAATGAAGAAATTCTAGATCATCTCAAAAAGGAAAATGAGTACTCCAAAGGTTTGACCAAACATTTGGAGGGCCTGCGCCAAACCCTTTACGACAGCATGTTGAGTAGCATTGTTGAGACGGACTGCACTGTTCCCCGCCCCAATGGTGACTTCTATGTTTATTGCCGGACATTCAAAGGCAAGTCATATGATGTGATCTGCAGGGCACCGCGCAACAAAGACAAGCCACTACAAACAATTGAATGGGATGGAACGGCAGAGTCACATGTTTTACCTGGAGAGGAGGTCTATCTGGATGTCAATGTGTTGGCCGAGGGCAAAGAATTTTGTAGCCTTGGAGCCGCAGTGATGTCGCCATCCAAGAAGCTACTAGCATATTCGGTAGATTTTTCTGGCGATGAGACCTATGAGCTCCATGTCATCAGCCTTGAGACCCAAGAAGAGATCTTTTGTGATCCAAAATTGATTATATCAGGCTCTCTAGAATGGGGGCAGGATGATTCCAACATCTTCTATCTGACAATGGATGAAACCAAACGCCCATACAGAATGTGGCGAAAGTGGCTCCTCAGTAGCGTGGAAGATGAGCTACTTGATCAAGAGGATGATCCTCAATTCTCATCTGATATGTTCAAAACAAGGGATAAACGTTTTGTTTTTCTGGAGAAGGGATCTCGTGAGACCTCGGAAGCATGGTTTATTGATCTAGAAGCTGTCAGAGAATCTGCTGGAAACAAGACAAAGCTTGAATGCCTTGCTCCTCGACGCTATAGGACTTTGTATGATGTCGATTACCGCTCTGGGTACTGGTGGATCACGTCAAAGAGAGGAGAAGAAACCCCCAATATGTGCTTGTTTACAGCACCTGCCATGGCAAATTGTCAAGATGAATGGAAGTTGCTCGAAGGCCCTGATGGGAAACCCTTGTTTGATGGTGGCTATGATCGTGCCCTCCATGGTGTCAGTACCTTTGAATCTCATGTTGTGGCCCATGGACGAGAAGGTGGCATTCCAAGAGTTTGGATCATGGGCATGGATGGAGGAACAGCAGTGAGCAGCTTTGAAGCATTGACATTTGACGAAGAAGCCTATGATTCTGGTTTGAGTGGTCATTACGAATACAACACAGATACCATTATGGTCTGGTATGATTCCTTAATCACGCCTACACAATGGATGGAGATTTCCTTGGCCAATCTGAGCGAACGGGTTGTTGTCAAACAGAAGAATGTGCCAAACTACAAGAAGGAAGAATATGACTGTGATCGATATTTGGTCACTGCTCGAGATGGAAGCACCCAAATCCCAGTTTTGAGGGTATACCGAAAGGATGCCATGGAGGAACACCAGGCCAGTGGGAAGCCACTGCCAACCCACCTTTATGGATATGGATCCTATGGTGCATGTGAAGAGGCTGAGTTTGCCACCACCCGGTAAGTGCAAAATGCCAGATATCTTTCTGCCGCATTGTTGACATAGCCATCATTCTTAGCACTGTTCCTCTGGTAGATTGGAACTCCTGCGTCGTGGCATGGTCTATGTCATAGCACAGATTCGTGGTGGAGGAGAAATGGGTCGTGAGTATTACTTTTGTTGTTTGTATATCTGTTGTTGTTGTTGCCAGTCCACACTACTATAATGAATGCTGGCTTTTGTTGATGTTGACCTGTTTCCTGGAATGCACCCTATGTGTACAGGCCAATGGTATGAAGAACCGAATGGCGCCAAGTACCTCTGCAAGAAGAACACCTTTAATGACTTTGTGGATGTGGCAAGGGACCTTGTGGATGGCAAGAAGCTAACCACCCCAGATCTCCTGTCATGTGAGGGATGTAGTGCTGGTGGAATGCTCATTGGTGCCACAATCAACCAGGCCCCAGAACTCTTCAAATTTGCCCTTATGGGAGTCCCTTTTGTTGATGTCATTTGTACCATGATTGATTCTTCCATTCCACTCACCACTGATGAGTGGGAAGAATGGGGGGTAAGTTTTCAAAAGCAGATGCTGAAGGCCAATTGTTTTCAACCATTTGCCTTGATATCTGACTGTCTACCACTCCATCAATAAAACGTTGCACCACATCCACGCAGAATGTCAACGAAGAAAAGGTAAGCTTTCAGCAATGCCCTGGTCTGCTGGTTCTACAAATGTACTCTGGTTTGACTAAAGCCTTATTGGTTCGATGCTACAGTATTTCAAATACATGATGGAGTATGCTCCAATGCAAAATGTCAAAGAAGGAGCCAAATACCCAACTATCTTCATGACTTGTGGATTGCATGATAGCCGGGTTCCATACTGGGAACCTTGCAAGTTGGCTGCAACTCTTCGGCACAAGCAAAGTGCAGAATCAGGTTCGGTCTGTGTCAAGGTTGAAATGAGTGCAGGGCACTACAGTGCAAGTGATCGATACAAGTTCTACCGCGAGTTGGCATTTGATTATGCCTATTTGTTGGATCAGCTTGGCCTGGCAGACACTCAATCAAAATAATCGCACTAAGTCTCTGTTCAACAGATCTATTGAGCTGAAGATGGCGCGACAGGTCTCTTCCATGTGCAAACACTATACCATACTATTTATATTAAGCAAAAATGCATCAAATGTACTATTGTAACAGATCAAACCAGGGGCGAGAAGCAGGCAACGCTTCCTACATAGCCTAGTTCTTCTCGGTCATTCTCTATTGTCCGTGACTTTGAATGCCACCGAGAGCTTTACAAGCATGCTGAGTGTCCCTCGTCACCGGCGCAACCCTAAAGCCCTCTCTGCTCTTCGGGCTGGGGTTTTTCTCCGAGAGACGAGGGCGGTAGAGAATGCAAAATCCATGCAACTAGAGCTCAAGTTTGGAACGAGGCTTCGTACTTGTCTTGGTCAATCTAGACCGATGCGGTGGAGGCAACGTACGGTTGACCAGCACCTTGATGTTTTGACGGTTCTTCGTCTGGCCCTTTCCTTTCGGTCTCCTGTGCTCGTGCACTGTCACCATGGGATTTGCTGCCTCGTTCCTCCAGCGACACATCTTCGTAGCCATCCTCGCTTTGGATTGTTTGCAGGTTGTCGTTCTTTACTCGTTCGGCCAGGATGGGATCATCGCTCTTGATGGTTTCCAGTTTTCCGCCGAGCTCGCCCGACTTGTCCTGAACGCTGGTGCTCTCTGCACTTTCGCCAGTCACTTCTATTGTCGATTCCAGTTCTAATTTCTGCATGGACGCTCTTTGAAGTTGTGGTTGAGGTCCAGCGTTCCAAGATGGGGCAACTGCTCGAGGGTACGTTGAATGAGGCACCGTCACTGTTGACGCTGCCACTCGCCTGTTCTTGGCGGCTGTCAAGCGTACTGAGTTCATGCAAAGACTTGCCATGAGGAATCGTTCAGAAGTTTGTGGCAGGCGCTGGGTAGTAGCATGGCCAAAGATTGCCGTAGAGATGCTGCCGGCGGTTGCAGCGAACCTTAGGTCTTTCTGTTCTTCATAGCGGGGCCGACCTCTGGGAGGTCTTTTCGGCGCCTTTGCCGGCTTCTTTGTGGTGGCAGCAGCTTCTTTTTTCTTGTCGACCGAGACGGGTGTCTTCGAGGCGACAGACTTGGAATTGGAGGCCGCAGATGCCCGTGATCCAATATTTGATTCGCTTGTTGCGGTTTTGGACTCCTTAATATGAGCCGGACTGCCAGGCTGGCAGAAGATCGATTTGGCAATGTAATCATAACGTGTCTGGACGGTGTTTGTGAAATCCAGGATGATGTCATCAAGCTCGATGCCTTGGCAGAGGTAGCCTTTCGAATTCGGAGCGGCAGTGTACGAAGAGAAGGATGCTTCTTTGGAAAAGTCCATTCGGTTGCTCTCCAATTCCAGTATGAGCTCTCCCAAGCAGTCCTTTACATCTCTCATGTGCCAACGAGCTTGAACATCTGCTTGCCAGGCATGTTGGAGCAGCTCTTTGACGCCCATCGAAAGCCAACGCAAATGATGCAAAGGTGGTCGCTGTCCTCGTTCACAGACGGACTTTTTGTGCTGCTCGATGGAACCCACGGCAAAAGGTTTCTGCAATGTCAAGAGTTCGTAGGTGACCTGGAAGCACAATTTATTGTAAGAGAGCTCAAAAAGAAATGAAACACGAAAACACACAAAGAGTTATAGACTCACCATGGCCCAACTATAAACCTGGAAACATCAAGAAGTATTTTCAGCGCGTGAGTTTTTTCTTAGATATTCAACCGAGAACACAAAGCAACATCCGTAAAGAAGCAAAACTCACATCTGCCTTTTGGTTGTAGCACCTGCTGGAAAGGACCTCCGACGCCATATACAACTGCGGGAGAACGGACCAGTGAGCACAGAGCTGCCACGTAGAAGAAAGTGACGGGGTCAACTTGAAGCAACCAAAAGCACCTACCAAGGTTCCCTTGCCCGACATGCAGTACAGTAATTCTTCTTCGTCCTCATCGGCACCGGGACTCTTGCTTGGCGACAGTGAAACATGGCTTGCCGATTTCATTCGACGAGCCCCACTGCCGCTGGATGGGACTTGCCCCGGCGTCAGTGACGAATCTGGATTTGGGAGCTCACGACAAAAACCAAAATCAAACAGCTGCACGGTTCCATCCTCCCGAATTCCAATGTTGTGTGGCTTGAACGAAGAAGATTTCAAAACGTCCTGTGAGAAATATGACGGGGGCACAGACAAAGTACACAAACACAGACAAAGTGCACAAACCTTCAGATCTCGAAACACAAGCCGCCTTTCGTGCAAATAAGCCAATGCGCTGGCGACCTGGACGGCCAATCGGAGCTTGTACAGGACCATGCTGGATCTATACTGGTCGGTGCTCCCTTGAACCTTCCATCGATGAATGCGTTGAATGAGAGTTTCTTTCAATTGGTCAACCACCAAAAAGTAACTGTCATACAATCCTGTAGCAGCAAATGTGGAAGTCCCACCCAATGCCATACCGCGAAGCCGCAGAATGTTTGGGTGAGAAAGGCGGGAGAGGAACTTTCCTTCCATCAAAAGATCTGCCGCAGCAGCCTCAAAGAGTTTGGAGTTTTGAAGGAGCTCAGCTTTCAAGTGTTTGATGGCATATCTTGTAGTGCTAGGTTTTGTTGTGGCAGCTGGTGAGGAGGCCGCATCTCCCTTAGTAGGCTCATCAACAACTTTTTCGTTTGCCTCCAATTCTCGCCGAAGCTTATTCTGTTCTGAATGATCCCCGAGAAAGTCAGGGAGGAGATGAAGATTTTTCACTTTGTAGACATTGCTATAGGTACCAGCTCCGAGTAGTTCACCAGTTTCGATTTCGATCCGGTCTAACCAAGCCACAGGTAAGGGTTCACTGTGCAAGAAGGAAGAATCAGCTGTGTATTGTTCTACCAAATCCTCAATCACATAGCTCGATCGCTGGACCACGACTCTCTCCCACCAGGAGGTTCCTGATTTTTTGGGTGCACTTGAACTAGCGCCGGGGACTGTCACTCCGGGAGGTCCAGCTACAGGAGGACAAGCCTGAGTATTGGCGGCTGCTCCTGGATTCATACGGCGGAGATAGTCTTTGGGTCCTCCATGTCGACGAGTGTTCTTCTGATTGGGGTGTTTCAACGGCGGGGGAGCATCGATTCGGATCGACGCCGAGGAATCCACATGATCCATGTCTACTCGCTTCTTTGATGTTGTGTGGTCTTCACGAAAGGAAATATCTCCAACTTCTTTCGTCTCATCCTCTAACTTCTTTTCTTCTTGATCCGTAGTGTTGCTTTCATCCTCCCGATCAGCGTGAGTCTGTCGGCCGATTCTCGCTGCTTCATCTTCCAATTCATTTCGGCTACACTCGCTGGCCATCGTCGTCGCTGTAGCATCCGGCTGGCGGCTACGATTGCCGATATCTTTCTGCAGCAATCGGAGCGACGTGTCATGGGCAAAGTGGCTGCCATTCAAGGCGCTGTTGTCTGCGTGGTCTACGTGGTCATCCAACGAAGTCTCCCGCATCATGCTGGTCTCCCGCTAGGCTCCCGCTCTAGCTAGCTAGGCTCCAGGTGCTCGATCAGTTGACAAAAACCAAAAATCACCAACTTCCGCCGGAAGCAAGCAAGAATACGAGAAGCTGCGGATTGGTTTCTGGCCAAAAATTGGTGTCTCCCTCAGCCTCAAACTTGCCTGTTCCAATAGACTTGTCTCCCTTCACTCTCTTTCTTTCGAGGTTGACTCTGCTCTACTAGCTAGCCAGCCGCCTTGGATTTGGTTCAACCTCTTGTGGACAGCACTACTAATAGTAGCAGCTGTTGTTGTAGGTTCTTCTTTTGGATGATGGGAACAGAAAAAGAGACCTTGAAACAGTGAACGACGGCGCAGCTTTAGTAATGGGAAACCAGTTTGTGGGGAGGTTGGCGACCCCTCCTCGCGCAAGCGGTGAAAAAATGGTTAAATCCATCCGAGAACACGGTTTGTGTGACTGCCCCCGAGGTCAATTAGGAGAGAATTAAAGAAAAAGCCAATCGAACGCTCCCTTTTGGCTGTTTCACAGCTCACGTGAAAAGGTCGGTGTGGTTGCATCTGCCAATATTCTGATCACCTTTCAGTTATTGTACTTCCGATCCGGCACTCGTTGGCCTCTACGAGCTAGCTACCCTAGCTAGCTACCAGCCATTCCAGTACCGGTATGGTACGGTAGCTCTCCAGACATCGTAGAATCGTAGCATGTTTGCCTGGAGCTGGGCTGGTTGGATGTTGGACAGTGGCTGCCAGTGCATTTGTACCGTATGACCTGGAGTTGTTCCTGGTGTGGGTCCTGGAGTTGTTCTACTAGTAGGCCAGGTGTGGATCCAGGAAAAGTAACCTTGCCCGGAGGAACCAAGAATTGTTGTAGGTGTTGGTCTAGCCCTTAATAGCTGTCTACCGGTACCGGTTACCGGTAGGTGTACCGGTAGGTCCTGGTTGGGTTCGGGCGATGGGCCTGGTGTAGGCCCAGGGTCCATCAGTCAATAGATAGTGATAGGACCAACATTCTTTTAATTAATATGATGCGGCTCAAGCTTCATGGATTTAGTGTATTATCTATTATATATATCTATGCAAAAATGTAAGGTATGTTGCCTCTTTGGTGAATCATCGACCAAAAAGAGCTTCATGAATCATGTAATGGATGTATGTGGATGGCTGCGAATCTAGCTCGCTCTTGCTTCTCTCCTAAGCCGAAGGACTGACGACTTGTTTCCTTGGAATCGACGACGGGGTCCTCGGTATGGTGCCGTGGACAGAATGGATCGTGCGCAACAACCTGTCTTTGTACCGATTGTCGCCTGCAGTTCCCTTCTTTCCTCGGGGGACGTGCCCATAGTACGAATGATACAAAAACGTGCCGTGGTGACCACGGGGGGCTTGACGGTGACGGTTTCTTCTGGTGCGAACATTGGTGCCAGCAGAGCATTCAGCCATGGAAGTTGCAGTCTCGACAATGCGCAGATCCGACTTGGTTTGCTCCATGACAATTTCAATCTCGATTTGATCGTCGGCAGCAGCAACAGTGGATTCCAGCTTCTTGCTTTCATATCCCTTGTGCTCGATCTTGTTCAAGCAGGCTGATTCTACTCGAATCGACAACGACGACACGCTGAAGCCTGTAGAGGTTGACTCGGTTGGCATGGTGCTAAAAGCCCTGATTGGCTCAGTTTCCGTTCCTACGGGCTGAGGCTTGCCTTCTTCAGCGGCATCTTCTTGTGGCTCTGACTCCTGCTCTTGTTTCAAGTGCACCCCACCTGTTGTCGGCGCATCTCTGGCCAAGGTGTTCAACAAGCCTTCCACCGGGCTCCATAGGAAACGGCAGCTGGACGCAATACAGTTCTCAATGCTTCCAACCTGGGGGGAGTGGTATCCGGGCGTGGAGAGATAGGCGAGGACGTGCTCCAGATGCAGAACAGCTTCTTGCATAGTGTACCGTCTCGCAATGCATGCGTCCCACGAATTCTCCAGCAGGTGCTGAAGCGTTCGTGGTATGCCGCTGCCGCCCAACGGAGGACGTTCGCCTCGGCGGAAGATTGTTCTTCGGTGTCCTTCCACGGACTCAATGGCGTATGGACGCCGAAGTGTCAACCTGTACCAAGAGTGAAGAGAGTACAGGCTGATTAGTTTTCATATACGTGTGAGGTCATTACCCCCTTTCAAACGATACGACGACCACCGCTTACATTTCGTAAAGGATTATGCTCCATCCGTATACGTCCGCCTTCTGATTGTAGCGCCTGGTGCCTAGGGTTTCGGGGCTCATATACATAAGCTGAAAGGGGTACCAAGCAAAAGAAGTCAGATGGCTGAACACTCTAGTACTCCGTGTGTAATTGGACAGCGCAGCACGTATCATGGTCGTACCGTTCCCTTTCCTGACATTCCATACAATCGTGCGTCGTCGCCTTGTTGGGCATCTTCCTCGCCCCAAACAAGGGTACCGCCAATGTATTCGGGGATATCGGGATCGATATCGGGTAGCTCTCGGCAGAAACCAAAGTCAAACAGTAGCACCTTGCCATCCTTGGTGAGTCCACAGTTGTGGGGCTTGAGAAGAAGATATCAAAACGTCGTGTGAGAGATATGGGGGCACAGACGGAAGTACACAAACACAGACGAAGTACACAAACCTTCAGATCCCGAAAGACCAGCCTGCGTTCATGAAGGTACGACAGTGCATCTCCAAGCTGAAGCGCAATGTCCATCTTGAGCATGAGCGTCGTGTTCGTTGGATTGCAAAGATGGGTGGCCGATTGCTGGCGCCATGTTTTGAGTCGATCGTACAATGTCTCGTGGATCTTGTCAACTATGACAAAGAAGCTGTCGTAGAGACCGGAACATGCGTATGCTGCAGTGCCTCCCATAGCAATTCCATGCATCTTGACAATGTTTGGATGATTGACAATGGAGAGCCACTTGGCCTCCATTATGAGGTCAGCTGCTGCCGATTCGAAGGACTTGGAGTCCTTGAGCAGGTCAGGCTTGAGGTGCTTAATGGCATACTGGCACCGGCCTTTGTCATCACGTGCCTTGGCTTGCAAAGATTGCCGGGCAGCTCTTGCAATCGAATTAATGTTGGCTTCAAGGCCCGTCATGGTATCTTCGTCATCATCGTCGCTGTCGCTGAGTTCCAACCCAGCAACCTCGAATACGTCCGAATAAGTACCTTGCCCAAGCAAAGCTCCCACGCGGACCTCGTCGCGGTTCACCACAGCGAGAGATGGGGCATACCCAGCGGGAGGATATGCCTCTCTCAAGAAGTTTGACCGCTCCGTCATGGTCTCGACAAGTGCATCAACAGCGTAGGCTGATCTCTGCACGACCACTCGTTGCCACCAGTGGCTACCGATATCGCCGTTGCTCGGAGACCGCTTCGGGAAGGGGATTTGGGGAGCCATCGTGTTTTCCTTGTCGGTTACTCGATTGAAAGAATTGTGCAACTCTCTTGGCCGTCGCCTCTCCTGGGCATTTCGCGCCTCAACAACCTTAGCGATCCTTTGCTATGGTGGTCTTCGGGCAGCCGGTACACCAGTGGAAACTGGTGGTCGTTGCTTGATGATGTTTTGCCTGCACATTATTGTCTTCCGTGCAAATCTTCCATGCAGTTTATCCAAACGTACCAGAGAGCTATTTTAGGCAATAATATTGAATAGATGGGACTCTTGGAGTGCCCAGTCAAGCGGTAGATGTGATAGATTTCAAGACGAGCGATTCCAAATTGAAGCGTTGGCGCTTTGAAAAATTTCGTGAGTGGGAGTTCAACCCTTCTCGAATGACTGCCTGCTCTTTCTGCTGTGGGACCTGGCTTTTGGCCTTTGAATGATCTAATACGATCCCTGCTCCCAGTCACAGATAGAGTAAGAGCACAGAAGGGTCTTGTAGCTCTTCTTAGCACAAGAGTCTTTTCGGCGATGAAAAAGACAGTGACTTCTTCAAGACCTGGTTATCACTGTTGTACCGTCAAGGATTATCAAAGGATCTGTTGCGGCGGGAGGATCCTTGAATGTGCCCCAGCTGTACCAGTGCGCAGTGGTACGGGCAGCGGATTTAGATGGAAATTGAAGAAACCACCAGCACATCAAAAAGCAGCAAGATTTCATTGCCTTGCATGTTTCATGCACTCTTTTGGGTTGCGTTTGGCACCGTTGTCGCTGGAGATGCTAAGATAGAATGTGATGGATTAGAATAGCAGAATACCTGTGTCGGTACTGGCTATGCATATCTAGCTAGTGGCGATTTAGCGGGTGGACGTGCATCCAGTGTTCTTGATACTGGTACCAGCAATCAAGGCCGAGCTCCCAACCTCTAGCTGAATACCGGTGAGCCTGACACAGTTCCTATAGTCTGTTTGTATTGTTATTCACCTGTACATTAGGTATTCGGATGATTACAGACAGTACTCTGGTGGTGTGAACAAAGATGCGTCAATGACTGGATTTTCTCGATACTCTAGAACCTGAAAGGATGCTTTCATGGTATGGAAATACCAAGAGTCAGGAACTCCTGTGGTGGCATCCACATAGTAGTCGATAAAATCCACCTTGGTCCATCCACAGACGGTCCGACCCGAGCCATCCCAACTGGTTGACGGTCCCAACGGTGTGGCTCCTTCTAACCAGTTGGGACGAAGGATACCCACTGGGAACTTCATCGGTCGGCATGTCTGTTGGGAGGGGTTGAAATAGTAGGAGTGTCCCGAGTTGAGTTCTAAATCCCACAAGACCTTGTCGTCATTCGTCGTTCCATCTTGTTCTTCTTGTGGAAAGATTTGAATCAGATTGCCTCCCGCTTCGTAATCGTAATAGGTAATGGTTTTGGCAGGGCCGACCTTGGAATCCGCATCAGGAACTCGTTGCTGTACGACAATCAAGGACTTGGGCCAGATTGGAGGATCCCTGTCAAAGCACGACGCCGACGCCTGCGTTGTTGTTGTCCTCAATAAGTGTTGCTGCAAGGAGAACAAGGGTGGTTTCAGCAGCGAGAACCAGGCGTAAAACAGAGTTGAGGTGATTGCAGCAACTGATAGCACTTGCATTCTGACAAGTCAAACTCTAGCTAGCTAGTATTTTACGTAGATAGAAGCTGATGGACAGAGTAAACTCCAACGACGGCAACGATCATCATCTTGATGGCCCTGAAGTGGCCTAAAGATCCAAGTACAGTACCCCGTAGGTCACGGATACGAGTCCACAAGACTTCTTCATGACCAGTAGGTGCCGGTTGATACGTCATTGACCCAGTCACTTTTGAAGTAAGTCCCATCGCGTCGGGCGGAAGCGTGGTGCTCATCATTTTGTGTAAATGACGGCCACTCCACATTCAACTCCGAGCTCAATCGATAATCCACGTGCATGTGATGATGCCATTGAACACGTTCATTCATTCATTCAAAGCTCCCGCCAAAAATATCACAAAAGATAGATGACAATGAGAATGATGAGACTTCTAGCGACTGCTCGATCAGCTCTACTAGTATGGGCCCTGCTCTTGTCGGATGCACCAAGCGTCCATGGACACGGATCCCTTCGATCGTTGCAGGGTATGTTCAGCTTAGTTTGTGAATATCGTTAGTTTTTGTGGTTGTCTGCCACCACCACTTATAATTCAGTTTCTCACACTTCCCACTCCTTTCTACACACTCTGTTGCTCCTTATTACTATATTCCAAATCTGCTCCAATTATTTCACACACATGCCAATTCGGTGTGATTCTTTCCTCCTTCGCCAACACAGCCAATTCGACCAGTGATGACGGCAATGCTACCGACTCCAATAATGATGCTCCAACTATGACTCCGATCCCTTTCAATGATCTCTGCATCAACGCTGAAGGACCTGTCCCTGTCACAAAGCGCCTCTTTGACAACAGCAATGATGTGAATAATGCAACGGGTGTGATGGCGGGCACGACGGTGGGTGCCACCCGGGCCGACCAAGAAACCTTCAATCGATGTGCCGGAATTTCCTTTACGGGTGTGGGAGTGTGGTACTATGTGTTTGGAACGGGATCGATACTCACGGCATCTACCTGTTGGCCAGGAACAGACCTGGATACCAAACTATCCATCTTTTCCGGACCAAACTGCACATCCCTCGTCTGTACCCAAGGAAATGATGATGCCAGCACCACAATAAGAGGAGCCTGTCAACACAACCGACTTGCCAGTCGAGCTAGTTGGGACACACAAATCAATCAGCTATACTACATTTTGGTTCATGGATTCAACAATCGGGTCGGAAACTTTGAATTGAGTGTGGAATCCAACAATGATCGATGCGACAAAGCCATTGCACTCTCACCCGGTGATTCTATTCGAGGCGATTCCCGAGGAGCCCTCACTCCGTTTCCAGGAACCATCAACCGTTGCAAAGAAGGTGGTGGATTGGTAGGAGAAGGACCGTCTCTCTGGTACACCGTGATGGGATCCGGTTCCAAACTACAAGCGACCACCTGCACCGACAGCGGTCAAGATGTCAGCAGGACCTTTAAAATTCACGTCTTTGAAAGCACTTGTGGCGATTCCGATTCTTGCATTGGAGGTCACAGTCCCACGTCTGGTTGCAGTAGGTATGAATGGGACGCCGAGGATGGAACGGAATACTACATTTTGGTGCACGCATTTACGGCATCATTTTCGGGGGTGTTTGACTTGACAATATCCGAAGCGTAAAAAAGAGAAATACATGCTATGGAGAGGTCATGGTGACGTCGGTCTGGTCTGTACCCCAGTTGGAACGACTCAGAGCTTTGGCACTCCGTATACCGCCACACTTTGACACAATTATTGAAGCAATCTAGCTACCGCATTCAAGCACCATTCATTCTAACCATCCAAAAGTGATGTACTTTCAACAACCAACAACAATGTAATTGTAGCCTTTGTTTGCCCCAACATGCTTTCATCAGTGTTCGTTTCCGAGCATCGTGCTCGTACTTCAAGCATACCGGTATTATGCACATGACTATCCAGTTTGCTCGGTCGTTGGAAACCGCGACCTCAGCCACGTGGGCAGCAGTGCCATTGCTTTTTGCTACCTCGCAACAGCTTACTCCAGTTCTGACAGCTCTGCTCGAAATACTTCCAGTCACTTTTTCACTGTAGCAGTCCTTCCACTAACGACGAGTGACAGAGTAGCAAGCAAGCAGCCAGTTTCAAAACCTACAATCTTGCATAAGGACTATTGCTTTTGTTTCCAAGTTATACAATAATTATCTATGGATCTATCATCTATCAATCTAGATTCCCTTGCTGATTACCCCTGCCTGTTCTGCTGCCCCGACCCTGAATTTTGGATGAATGAACTCAAAAGCATCTCCAACAACAGTGCACTATTGTTTTCCTGTGGGCCCTGTTGTGGTTGTTGCTGTTGCTGTTGCTGTTGAAGTTGCTGTTGTTGTAACTGCTGCGCTAGCAGAGCTGGGTTTGGAGGGATGCTAGATGCACGAGCCCCCCCAATGTCCAGTTGCGGTGGGAACTGCTGCTGCGGTTGATATGTCGGCGGCCGATTTAAGACTGGTTGTTGGTTGGAAAGTCTCATCAGTTGCTCTTGAAGTTGAGCTTGCTGGGTTTGACCCTGCTGTTGGACCTGGACCTGAGGCGCTTGAGCGGAGTTTCCTAGACCATCTGGTGCCATCTCATGATATCTTTGGGATTGTTGTAATGATGACTGCGACGTGAACTCCGCGATTTGCCTGATGGCTTGCTCTGTTTGTCGCTGTTGCTCAAGCTGCTGGCGTTCCCTTGCTAGGCTTTCGTCTCCCCCCCTCTGTGCTCGCTGAAGGAGCGCCTCAATTTGTCTTCTGGCCGTTTCTCTTTCCTCTCGTTGTTGTTGCTCGCGAAGTTGCTGCTCCTGGAAGCTTCTCACCAGTTCTTGCACTTGACCTCTGCTTTGTGAATCTAGAGCCAAGATTTCATGCACACCGAGGTTCTGGGTTGGTTGTTGTTGTTGTTGCTGTTGCGGATTTTGCATTGCGGACAAGACCTGATCAAGGTTGATATCACTGCTCTGCATAAACTGTGACCCTTGTTGCTCCCCCCTCATTTCACTCTGGTTTGTGGAGGCCAGGAGGTTGCCGGGTGACCGGATCAGCTGAATGAGCTGAGATATCTGAGATGGAGAGAGCTGAGATATCTGAGATGGAGAAAGCTGAGAAAGCATCCCTTGGAGAATGCCACTGTTGGTATTGGTATTGCTGGATGGAAGAGCAATCCTCCGTACAAGTTCTTGCAGTTGCTGCTCGTTAGACGCTTGTTGAAGTACAAGTGGACTGGGCCCAGAAGTTGAGGCGAGGAGATTTCCAGGCAACCCTGACGAAGGCGCTGTGGCTGGCTGCTGTTGTTGCGTGTTCTGTTGGCGTCGATGGGCCAGCTGAAGGATTTCAAACACGGCACCTGACGCTGGGGCAGGAGATTGGGGGGCACGGTGTTCTTGTTGCCCACCTCGCTGTCGTGGTAAGAGCTCCTGCAGTAGCCGAACCAAGTCATGTTGCTCGTGCTGCGGCTGTATTGTGTGCTCTATCGGGTGTTGGGTATGTGGCTGCTGTATAGGTTGTGGTTGGCCAACATTATTTGTGGAGTTTTGTGGTACGGAATTTGACACAGAAGAAGGCTGGTTTCCCGGTTGGTTAGGTCCTCCTTCGCCATGATTTGTCTGGCTCTGCAGCATCCCCGTGAGCGTTTGAAGGACATTGATTTGCACTCTAGAATCATTACTGGATTGATTGATCACCTGGACAGCTTGGGGTTGGTGGAATGATGGGGCGGTGATGGGGTTCCCAGTGATGCTACGCTGGCCATTCACCGAGGCCCTGCCCCTTCCTCCGGACTCGTGACTCAACAGGAGCTGAGCTATTTGGCTGCCAATGTCGTTATTTCCATGCGGCCGTGTCCCCCCTTCCTGCATGGCTACAACCGCCATTGGTGGATTTTGTGCATAGACCTGGTTTGCTGGTGGATTTTGTGCATTAAGCTCGGAGCTGGTGTCTACCGGCATTCCATGACCTCCGAACATTTGATGCATTCCAGAACAAGACGAGGCTGCATCTCCTCGAGAAGGTCCCATCTGATGTGGGGGGACCAAAGGTTGCACAGCGGGCAACATCGATTGTTGGGTAGGGGCATTCTGGGGCTGCAGGGAGCTGCCCACTGCAGAAGCATGGCAAGTTACAACTGGAGGAGATCCACCAGCGCTAGTTGCGGACGCAACCTGGATGGGAGCTGGATCACCAGAGGGGGGATCTTGAATCGAGGGGTCCTGTGGCGGAGGGTCGCTGGCTGCAGAGCTTGTGGATTCACCGTCCTCTCGTTCCAAGAAAGCTCGAAGCGAAACTGGATCGAGTTGCCCGGTGCGAATGGCAATGATATGGGCCCTGAGAGTTGTGTTCTCGTCCTCCAGTCTTTCATTCTCGTTTCCAAGATTATGATACTGCTCGTTTAGGTAATCAATCTTCAGGGCACGTCGAGCCCGTTTCCTTCGTTCGTTGATCCTGTTCTTTCGCAAGCGTCTCTGCTCCGCTGTTTCGTTTTCAGGGATGTCTTCTCCGCCCGGTGGTAATCCTGGATCCCTCCCATACGTTTCAGTTCCAGCAGCTCTACGTATCACTTCAGGAGCGAAGGAACTCTTGACAACATATCTGATGCCGCTATGCCCGCTGCCAAGGGGACGAGAAGCCTGCCCAGGGACTCCAGCGGATGGTTTTGACGCAGCTGCAGGCGGGTTCAGAGATGCAGCACTAGGTGCTTTTTTCTTACTGATACCTGAGGCAGAGGACGATGACTTTCGTTTTCGAGGAGACGGCTTTTTGGATGCTTTGCTTTTATCTACGGTATAGACCAAAAGGTACATGTAGAATAAATACATCAGCCTCTCGCAGTAATGAAAACACAAGGACTCCGATTGATTGAAGCTTCTCGAGGGTTCCCCTTTTAGCTGGCTTCGTTCATTGCTTACCTTTTTTGGGCTCTGATGTTGGTTTAGCTGGCATCTTCTTATCATTATCGTCGTCGCTGTCTTTTGGATTAGTCATGTCTAGCTAGCAACAGTTTGTTCTCCAACAATGGCAGTTCTCTACTAGCTAGTAGCTAGATGAAGAGGTGCCGGTAACGGCGTCTGGTACCGGTACGTTGTTGCGTTGTGACGGCAGGCAAAAAAAGCGCAGGGTCGGGGTCGTGGTCTCTCGTCTCTCACAATCCACCAACACTGTGAAGGCCTTTGTGCGGTGGATATAATAGAAGCGATTGCAGGCCGTGGATTTCTGGATCTAGCTACCGGTATTAGTATCATTGCATCCAAGTTCTTAACAAACGTCCAGTGTACAAAGAAGCTACTGTTGGCTCATTACTATGTCTCATTGTTCGTTAAGATAAATTCCTAATTTCTGAAGCTTCTCCAGGCCTAGCAGGCTTTGCGGTTCGGGCAGTAAATCCTTCCAATTAAGAGCACTTGATAAGAAGTACTCCGAGTACTCAGTGGACTACTACATGTAATAGCTAGAAACGTTCCATTGTACTGTACTCAAAATATGTCCAATCATACGATTTCCTAGAACCTAGAACGAAGGATGAATTGAAGGGAAGTTAGATAGATTTTAGGCGACTCGTCACTCACAAGTCCCCATACTTGGCTGTTCCTTGGTTGAGGACCAGTACCGTTTCGTGAGCAGGCCTTAGCCGATCGGCGAAGTATCTTTTGTACGGGGAGCTGGTTGCTAGTTGCTAGCTATTAATAGTACTCGGTAACCGGTGAGTGACTGGGCATTTTGGCATCTGTAGTTGTGCAAAAGTGAGTTAGGGGGTTGTCATAGTAAGCTGCCGGTACCGTACTGCCTACGAATGGCGTTACGAGTTTGTGAGGCGGGATTACCGGTACTGTAACTAACTTGATTAATAAAGGGTGCTGGGCGTACATGTGCCACCTGTACTCCCTGCTGGCTACCCTGGCTGGCTACCGGTATGTACCACAATGTCATGTACAAACACAAACAGCCCAACAGACCGGGCAGCAGCTACCGGTACGCTACCGGTAGCCAGTCTTGACACAGGCCCCACCCCCAACCCCGAAGGAAAAAAGGCTACTGGGAGCATACTAACCAAGCCTGCCAGCTAAGCTAGCTAGCCTTGCTACTACTAGCTAGCTACGAGTAACTAGTGCTTCAGTACTGTAGTATTATTTTAAAATAGTAATTTCAATCGAAATGCATCGACTGGCTACCTACCGTTAGTACTCCGAGTAGAGAGGAGGCTTCAAGCTGCAAATTATTGTTTCTGGGTGGTTCCGAGACGTGAGCAAGAAGCCTGAAGGCACAACTTCTTCGCTGTTGCCACGTTCAAAAGAAGCTTTTTTAGAGAAGAAATTCGTCCAAGGGAGCCACCCAAGAAGAAAGCCATTACGAGATGATAACTCACGGTTCGGATTGAAACATTGCAAAGTCCCTTGATGACGTGACGACACTACCAGGTACCGTACCGTACGTTGTGGAAAGTGGAAAGATGCCCACGCACCACCGCTGGCAGGTTCTCTATTCTCTAAGAAGGGAGTCGAGTCAGTCGTATATGCATAGTCGTCACTGGGACTACTCAATGATTGAATCGAATCGAATCGAATCGAATCAAACTGGTACTATACGCCCGCAGAGCTGATAAAACACCACAGGTACTTTCACACCCTTAGTAGGAGACAAACAAATTCGGGTGCGGCTTGTTTGGCTCATCCTTTTAGCAACACTCCTTTCGTTCAGTTTGCATGTAGGTTGCACATGCCATAAAAGCTTGAGGGCATTTTGATAGATTTCATTGAACTGTAGTACATGTAGTTGGGATGCTTGTGTAGCCCCAAACTTTCTGGGCTACTGCTACTCATGCGACCCAAACAGAAGGACCCGGGGTCAACCTTCTACAATTAGTACTCAAGTAGCCCAAGATGTTTGGGATATTGAAATAGCCTTGAAATCCAGAATAGTTTGGCTACTTGAATACTACATGTATTTTATAGACAGCTACTCGCTACGATACCAGAACCGTCCGACGGTTTTCACTTGGGATTTAAAATAAATTTAAAATTGCCACGACTGAGGACGGTTTGAAACATTCCCTTAAACATTCCCTTAAATCCTCAACATTCCCTTAAATAAACATTCCCTTAACAACATTCCCTTAAGGCTTCGAAACATTCCCTTAAGCCTTCAACCAGGGTGTGATACTCACACTGTTTTAGCATGTGAGTACGGGTACTGAGTAGTACTCAGAATTGTGGAGGTTATGTGAGTACGGGTACTGGGTAATGCCCACAATTTCTGGGGTCAAGTGGGTACAGGTACTATGTGAGTACAGGTATTTTTGGGTACTACGGAATACTCACTGAGTACTCATATATCAATTACTTAGAGAATTTATCTTTGCAATTGGACCCAAAGTGAGAAAATAATAATTTTTTTGCTGTTTCGCGGTGAGAAAGTACCCACCGAGTACTCACAAAGTACCCATTCAGTACTCATAGTATTCGGGGATCGAAAGTACTCACCAAGTACCCACCGAATACTCACAAAGTACTCAGAACCTGGAGGTAAGTGAGTACGGGTACTGAGTAGTAATCACAATTTCGGAGATCATGTGAGTACGGATACTGAGTATACTCAGTACTCAGTACCCGTACTCACATCAAGTACTTGCTGCAGGTACTCCATATGAGTCCCACACCCTGCCTTCAACATTCCCTTAACATTCCCTTATTTCGCAGCAGCCAACCAATCGTCGCGTCGTCGCTCTGGTCGCAGCAACCACAAGCCACAAGGCACGACGGCACGTACATTTATACTCGTACATGTAACACTCACAGCATTCTTCGTGTGTTGTTGTTGTTGTTGTTGTTGTTGTTGTTGTTGTTGTTGTTGTTGTTGTTGTTGTTGTTGTTGTTGTTGTTGTTGTTGTTGTTGTTGTTGTTGTTGTTGTTGTTGTTGTTGTTGTTGTTGTTGTTGTTGTTGTTGTTGTTGTTGTTGTTGTTGTTGTTGTTGTTGTTGTTGTTGTTGTTGTTGTTGTTGTCCTCTTCGACTTTCGTGTTTTCCGTGTTGACACTGGTGCTCGGAACATTCCCTTAACACTATTCCTTAACATTCCCTTATCACGAATGAACATTCCTTTAAATAAACATTCCCTTAAAATATTCCCTTTAATCTTCTACATCCCCAAAGCATTTCCTTAAATCTTCGACATTCCCTTAATCCGAACCAGATTATGAGTCAGTCATGGCAAATTTTAAAGCCCGAGTGAAAACCGTCGGACGGTCCAGGTACAGTTGGAGCCGCAAGGAGGGAGGTCAACGAGTGTGGTGACTCAGACCACAACTCTGTTCGCTCGGATCGGGTCGAGTGTACTGGTACAGTAGGCGTGGAGCGAGGAGTATTCATCTCAGGCGCTTTCTTAACACAGCTTTCCAAACCTTCGCACCTTCGCCGTGACGTCAAATCGGACACCAACCACAATTGGGAAGAGAAGAATTACCTTCGCCGCCATTTTGCCTGCCAGTTTTACAGGGCCGCGAAGGTATTTCTTCTTGTCCTATGATCTGTTGGAGTCCTCTATGTATGGCGAGTCAGCCCAAACTTGGGTGCACCTCTAGCCAAAGATGGCTGCAATTGCTTCACATCGATAACTTTTAGGAGCGAGAGCTCTGGATCCCGTCAGAGATAGCTCCAACAGCTATGCTGGCCTACAGCTCCAGCACCCACAGCTGGCTTATCTCCAGCCAAAGCAGCAAGAAAGGATCGTCCTTTCTACCATAGTTAAGAAAATAGTACGAAAGATTGAGACCGATCCTGATTAGCTTGTAGCCCCATTGATACCGCAGCAGTTGATACCCATCCTGTTGAGGCCGGGCAGAAGCAGTAGGAGGTAGCAGATAGTACTGTTCCCAGACTGCCACTGCACGATTGAATAACGAAGGCCACCAGCTCCTGAGGTGAGCTGGCCCAAAGGGCCCAGCAGAGAGCTCTGCTGGCCCTCCTGTCTGACTGACAGGACCAAGTCCTTGGTTTGGTGCCTACTGGAGGTGTTGGAACACTCCTGAGGCACGACAAGGCTCCCTGAAGTGCCTGACTACCGCTGTCCCTGAGGAAGGGTTTCAGCGAGGTCCAGTCCACTACTGGAGTATTGGAACTGATCCTTCTAGAAACTTATTGGATTAACAGAACGCATAGTTTTCAGGCAGTTTTAAGGGAAGAAGAGACCTCCTTGACGAGAAAAGGATCTCTTTGCATTACAACAATCAGTGCTACAGCTACAGTTGGATTCATTGGATTTCATTGGAATTTGGTGGTGATTTCAAGGCCCATCTTGAAGTCTTATCTCCACAACCTTCTGGTCAATTTTGATACTTCCAACCTTCACCACAGTGACAGGAACCTTTGACTTGACCATCTACCACTCCTACAAAGCCAACACCATCACCATTGCCTTGAAAAAGGACCTAGATATCAACCAACTTGACAAGGACCTCATTGCCGATAGCAAGTTCCTGTTGACACGAAAAACAAAGGAACCACTTCACTCGAAAGAAGAAGCAGTTACAGTACGCACGGTGAAGGGTGAAGGAACACCTGGAGTCTCCGAGTGAACGAAAGACTTATTGCGTTCGCACATATCTTAGCAATCGCACAAGGCTTTTACGTCTCGAGGAATCCACTGTTTATCACCGGTGTACGACGATTATCTCTTTTCGAACGGGCTTATCGCTTTGCAATCCTTTGAGCCATTTACGTGGAACGTTTGGATTTATTGTTGATTTCGAGGCTTATCTCTTGAGGGATTCCACGGAACGTTTTCACTACGTCTGTGCAGTTTTCGAGTGTCACGAATTTCCGTCCTGTGCTGGTTTCAGCTACCCACGGAACGTTCTGGAACGATTGGAGGTTCTTTTCCAGAAGCCGCTCAGCCAATCAGATCGCCTGTACAGTTTGGGTATTTATTTGACGTGCACCGAGCCAGTTCTGACCGGTTACGTGAAGTCCTTTGCGATCCTGGATCCGCGAAGACTTATACGACAACGTTCCCCGTACCGGTTTTGTTCTGAAAGCAGGCTCAGCCACAGTAATCGCTTTGCGCTCACAATTTCAACCGATTTACGCGAATCTTCGTCGAGTATTGAATTGCCGCGATTCTCTACGGTCCCTCGTCAACACCGAAGAGGCAACTCGGAGCGATCACGAGACCAACGAGGTCAATTCGCCTGGCTGAAAGTGGTACCATGTCCGCACCCTTCATTTGTCAGTGGTATATCACCTTTGAATTTTGGGAGCTTTTGTGGGGAGATTCATTGATCCCAGTAAGCTAGCTTCCAGGGAGGCAAAATCACCAAAACCAAGGCAGTTCCCAGCACCAAGGCGACACAGGAACAGTCCAGCTCTTGTACCTGGTCCACCTTATTCAATTACACTTAGATTGAATTTCCAGGCCCCTGCAAGGTCCCAGGAAGTCCCTTTGTGTTTCCCAGCTACAGTTGAGTCAAGCTTTATCCCACTGCAACAAGAGCTGACCAGTGTACCACCAAGTACAGCCTACACCTCTTCCTTGGCAGAAAGAAAGCAACCATGTCACTCTACATACCCACAGTGACTCCTCCACCATCACGGAAGGCCTCGAAGGCTAGAGAACCAAGGAAACAGGCTAGCCCAAGAACAACTAGCCACACTTCCCCTAAAACCCGGGAGGATACGATTCGGCCATCATGAAGAGTCTGGATGCCAGCACACCTCTTCCAAGCCCTTGACTACCCTTGATAGTCTCTTGAGGAGCGACAGTGGTGATTCGTCAGCTGCTTGACAAGTCCTTAGTCGAAACCTCGAGAAGATCAACTGAAAAGCAGCTGCCCTCAAGCAGAAACAGCCGCCTCCAGGACTAAGAGGCACAACCGGTACCAAACATCTCCAAGCACGATGTGGGAGTTGCCTGGCACTATGTCAAGCCCACGCAGCGCGACTGGCAGAGCCCTCTTTGCTTCCAACACAACAGCAATGTAGCCACAGTTCCACCGACTGATCCAACTCCCAAGTCAGACTGTGGGAGTTGCACGTCATTCGCCCTTCGGCCGGTGCCACAGCCAACCACCAGCCACCTTCCAGGCCAGCTTGTGGGAGTCGCCAGCCACTTGTCCTTTGCAAGTTACGCGGCCAACAACCAGCTGCCAATGCCACACCCTTGGTTGTCCGGTGCAACCTTTGCCTAGCTGGTGCTCCCAATCATCACTGGGTGATGGGGATATTAAGAGCTGCCTACCTTCAGCTCCGAGTCACCCAGCTTCTAATTGGCTTTGGGGAGGCCAGTACTGTACCCACAGCAACAGTGATTCTAGCAGGACGATTCCACCTCCAAGGAAGTCCCGCCTGTAATCGATACAACGGTTGTCCTTCCAATCAGGACCGCACGTCCTTTGTCAGCAGACGACAACCAGCCCATGTTGGATGCCTCACAGTTTGCCCATCAAGCGAAGGCAACCAACTCGGCTCTAGCAGAGCCTCCTCTCTTTGGTCTCCAGTGCCACAGGTGTGCCAATGAGAGGATCCTTTGCAAGCAAGTGACGCCCAAGCAGGATGCTTCAAGCAGACAGCTTCCAGGGCAGGTCGTGCAACAACCAACTTGGCTGGAGATCCAAGTGTCACCATGTCGAAGACACCAAGGATTCCCCGCTTGGTCCATCCCGGACCCCTCTCTTGGTACTCCCAGCCACAGGCTTGTGCCGAATGAGAGGATCCCTTTGGCGCAATGCCATCCAGTCGGCAAACACCACCAATGGTTGACAGAGCTATGAAGCCCAACCACAGGATGAGCCAAGGTCCCAGCCCCAAGGTCTCAGTCTCCTCTGCCTCCAGGCAATGGGGAGTTCCCAGTTTTTGGCATGTGGTTCCATCTATGTTTTGCTTCCATGATGGCCCTAGGATTGGGCCTCCATCTGTGCTGCTAGACCGTTCCTGGATTTTCGGACGGGCAACTAGACTACGTCCCTGTCTGGTACACCCACTATCCCATCGTCAAGGGACATGATTGCGGGCAAGAAGGCGTCCGGATTGAGGTCTTCGCTTTGTCACATGACCTATGATAGGAAAACCAGCAACCGCCGAACCTACGAGTCTGGCATGCTGATGAGCACGCAATCCCTTTGCGCCTACCTTTGGTCCAGCAACGACCAACCATGCAAGTCCCTCCACGTAGATTCCCAATCTCACATTGTGTTCCACTAGCAGCGATGCGAGTGGCCCTGAATGTTCCGTTCATGGGAGAGTATGTATTGTAGTTGTTAGTAACTAATCGTTATCGTGGTTCCCATGGAGCGGATCCATACGCACTCGTGGGGAGCGTAATCTAGGAGCGAGAGCTCTGGATCCCGTCAGAGTAGCTCCAACAGCTATGCTGGCCTACAGCTCCAGCACCCACAGCTGGCTTATCTCCCAAAGCAGCAAGAAAGGATCGTCCTTTCCTCATAGTTAAGAAAATAGAAGAAAGATTGAGACCGATCCTGATTAGCTTGTAGCCCCATTGATACCGCAGCAGTTAACCCATCCTGTTGAGGCCGGGCAGAAGCAGTAGGAGGTAGCAGATAGTACTGTTCCCAGACTTCCACTGCACGATTGAATAACGAAGGCCACCAGCTCCTGAGGTGAGCTGGCCCAAAGGGCCCAGCAGAGAGCTCTGCTGGCCCTCCTGTCTGACTGACAGGACCAAGTCCTTGGTTTGGTGCCTACTGGAGGTGTTGGAACACTCCTGAGGCACGACAAGGCTCCCTGAACTGCCTGACTACCGCTGTCCCTGAGGAAGGGTTTCAGCGAGGTCCAGTCCACTACTGGAGTATTGGAACTGAACCTTCAAGAAACTTATTGACATTTTTGGTGAAAAGGAAGACTCGATCTTCTCCTTTTGCATAGATAACAGAATAATAGATTTTATGCACTACCAAGATCTTTCCAATGCAGCCAGCGGTGATATACTCCTGTTGACTATTCTGTATATCAATAATTGTGTTGGTGTAGTAGATGGTTACTTGCTGAGGACAAAAGTGCCGGCACAGAGGCATGTTGGAAACGTCCGGTCCTACTTCTCAGGGCACTACCAATGCTACGGAGTCAATATCCAAGCAGCAGCAGACTACCATTCTCGATTTACGTTCATTGCCTTAACAGCTCCAGGAGTTACTGGAGATCGTGAAGCCATAAGGCGATGCAAGTTGCATTCCTTAATTGAGTCTCTTCCAGCAGGGATCTGTGTCATCGGTGATGCAGCTTATGAAGCAACCGAACACATGGTGCCAGTTTACCAGGGAGTGGACAGGCTAAAACCTTTATACGACAACTTCAACTTCTATGCCAGTCAACTGAGGATTCAAGTTGATTTGGCATTCGGTATCATGCAAATGAAATGG